AATTTGAAAAAGGCTAATTTCAGTTAATTAGTTAAGTTTAAAGTTTCTTAGATTAAGAACCATTGGCTTTAAAAAAAAAAAAAGAATTTTTTTTTCCATAAAATGTATAGTCCCATACATTATTTTACATTAATTATTTCCTTAAATAATTTAAAAAACCACATACCATCTAAATATAAAACATCCTTCTATTTCTAAATGTTAGTATTTTTGATATAAGTTATTAATGAATAACTATAGAAATAAAAATTTTAAAATTAAGTGTAAAATTAAAAAATTTTAAATGGAGATGTATTACTTTACAAATATATGTATAAGATAAGCAAGTAAAATTCATATAATTAATTGTTTCATATAAATTGAATAGTTTTATATATGCATATAAAAATTTATCGAGAAAACAATCCATTTTTGATTTTATTCAATACCAACAAAACAGGGGAGGAAGGATTAAAATTATTATTATTTATTATTTAAATTGAGATGTTCTAGGTACCCAGAAATTACTCAATATTTGAGTAATCGATGTCATGATTAAGACTTGGCATTTACCCGGAACTCGGTGTAATATTGAAATTTTTACTCGATCAATATTCGGTATCCGATTTATAATAAATTTTCTACACAGAACATCTCTAATTTAAATTACAAAAAAATTAAACTAATTACTTATGCGATAGGTATTTTTTAATTAATAAAAAAAAATCATAATTATGACACAAAATTAAAATTGTATAAATGTTTAATATATTTTTTGTTAATACTCGTATAACAATTAATTTCTATTAATAATGGTTACCGAGTGCTATAAAAAATGAGTCGTGGGCCGTGTGTTTGACATGTCCGATATAAGATATAAACTGCGATATATATTTGAACGTTTTTATTGACAAAATATTCACAATAATGATATTGTTCATACTTGTAGGTTAAATAAATCCATTATAATATAATTATAATAATTATTATTATTGTGAATATTTTGTTAATAAAAAGGCTAAAGTATTATATCACAGCTTATATCTTATTAAAAAAAAAAAAATATGTACTATATTATAGTATGATACATTTTTTTTATAAATAAGTATGTATATATATTTATCTACGTATAATAACGCAGATTGGATTTTTAATTATTTTTATACCTCACATATATGAATTGGTTTTAACAACAAAGACGATATTCGAACCAAAACTGTACATATATAATATATGTTTGATGGTTATACACTATATCGGTATTAGGTTTAGAACTCACATGCAACAGATAAATTAATTTTATTTATTATTACTATTATAATTTTTATTTTTATTTTTGGCCACATTAACGTTGTGATTTCAATTCTTCGGTAGTCGCCCCGCAATCGTGACGTGTTGTAAATAATAGTTATTAAAACGCACCCGACTTCTCAATAGTTATTATCAACTCTGAGGCGATGTAAATGCGGCAGAAGGTGAAGAGTTATAATTTTTAAACTTCGGATTTTCGAGTACAAAGCGTAGGAGATGAAAATAATAATAATCCATCGACGGACTGTCTTCACGAAAAGCGTTTCAGAATTTTATGTGAGGTGTGGCATTAGATACAGACACTATTGTACATTTTTCATGTGGTTTTTTTTTTTCTATCTCCTTTTATATAATATCCTTATCGACAACGATGAACATTTGAACTAGAGAATTTTTTTCAACTATTTCATTAGGGTAGAAAATCATAAATTGGTTTGATTTTTTTGATATACTGTTATATATATATTATTCCATCCATGACGCGTACCAATCATGTTGCGGAGATGCTAAACGTAATTTTTATTGCGTGATCCTTTAGAGAATTCTTATATTAATATAAAAACGAATTATTTATAAAATAAAAAAAGATAACCTGCATGTATATACTGGCGTAACACGCAATCCGAGGCAGCCCAGAGCTATCACGATCTCCCAAAAAATCCATAGTTCCGTAAAAACCAGTAGTCGCTCCCATCGTTGTAGTGAAATCCATAATAAGGTCGATACATATAATATTACATACGCATTAATCGAATTGTTAAATATATATGTATAGCAGTGTGCCAGACGATTGGTATCGAAATCATAATTACATCGTGTGCAGAACAGTAGATCTGGTCGGTAGCAAATTTATAATGTTTTGTATTATAGTATTATTTTGTTTAGCATTCAATACACTGTTGTGCGGCTCGTAATTATTGAGAGTGCGCGCGCGCGCCCTTACTCCTTCGCCAGTGATAATTTTTGAATATAAGAATAATTAAAATTTTCAATTTTCACGTACAGCGTACCAAACATTGCGTTTCCCAAAGTATACCTATGGGTATAGTGTGATTAAATGTAGTAAAATAATATGTAGTCATAACTGTATATAAATATTACATTTTGATGTTATTTTTATGATGTCGATAACCATTCACAGGAAAATCAAATCCTTTCTATATACATTTATTATAATTATAAAAATTACAAATTAAATGTGTACTAAACAAGTCGAACAGATCGAGTGGATTAAAAAATAATGATTGATCGCACGTTTTACCATTACGTTATGTTTTAATGTTTATTCTCAAAACTTATTAGGTGTAGTATTCGGAATATATTTACATACGTGAAATTAAAAATTATGACAAGTTAATCGATTTAAGACGGACGTGGCTATAGGAATATTTTTAAATCGTCGACCGCACACTACGACACCAAATCATGTTCGAACGGATCGTATTTTTGGCCGATTCTTTCTGATAAATTGCTTATGACATTGGGTTGACGATAATATGACGATTTCAAAGTGAATTAATATTAAAGCTCGCGGGTGCGACAGATGAAGGATGTATGGAAAAATAACACGTGTTTCATTAAAATTACATTAGTCCACTTGGAAGTTAGCCACGATTTTTTTTCTACTGCGCCTATGTAGACCGTAAGAACTATTTATTAATAATGAGAATCATAATAATAGATTAAAACGCTGTATAGTTTATTATTAATTAACATGGTGGTTACGCCAATTTCTTGGTCTTTGACGAGCATCTGAATCGACACTCCTTTATAGAATAAAAAAATAACGTCGTCGCGATTATTTGACGTGATACACAGGCGAGAATTTATCGAACGTGATTTGATGTTCGATTATTTTTGACAGAAAAAATAAAAATTAACATTATTAAAACGTGCGTGGTCTAATAATAATGGCACTTATTGTTTTGTTAATTTAACTAATTTAACAAAAAAAATGTATACATAAAGCAGCCGATAAAAGGAAAAAAAATGTCGTGTTTCGAATGAATTATTTATTTATTTTTTTTTTATTTAACAATTTAACGGACCTATGTCCTTTATATAATATATAATAATTATAAGTGTAACATTTAGACAAACGATACAGTTTACAATAATTTAGTAACAATTAGTAACAATTTATTTAAATATTGAATAAGTTTTCAGTATTCACTTTATTTAGTAGTTTTGTTGTGTAGGTACTTGTATTTAGTCACTTATTTAATATAAATAATATAAGTAACATTTTTTTTTTTATTATTTTACAATCATCCACAGGTCATATGACGACGTTACAATGCAAATAATGTACAAATAGTATTATGTAATTATATAAATAAAAAAAAAATTTAGTACATGAATACATAGGAATACATTAATAAATTTAAAGTGTGAATATATGTAGACATAGAAGCTTATAAAGGTTGAAATATACTGTTGAAGTTGGAAGGTTTATGGGTGCTTGTTTCATAGGGTTGATGAAATATGTTATCAATAAAAATTAGCAGTGTTTGAAGATATTGTTTGTTTCAGAACATAATGTATCAGTAAGGTGGTCGAATATCTGTAGTTTTATTATCTTCATATTGTATACACAATATTTGATGAGAATAGGTTTATCGATAAGGAGGACCCCACAGCTTGTGTGGTTGGGAGAAGGATCATCTTTATTCATTAAATGTAAGTTCACGAGTTGTGTATGTCCGACTCTGAGATGGTTGATAGCTGACTCATATTTTTTTAGTTTTAGTTATATTTTATTTGTGTATACTATCAAAAAGTAGAGAAAAGTAAAATAAGTCCGTTATTTCTGGTCGATCATACGCATGATAAATAATTAAATATACAGATACTATTATTCGAAAGTGTATATAATATCTTACATACTAAGCAGATATAACAAAGCATTTTGTTGATTTGATAGTTTGAATACCTATGTACGCGTTATCGCGTGAGACTGTAGCTGTTTATTATAAGCCATCAGGGGATTCTCGTGTCGGAAACCACGTTTTCATTCCAAGCCGAGATCATCTGTACATGGTATCGGTCGGAATAAATTATATACGTTGGATAAAAATAATACTAACATCCCCATATGGCTGATACCCGCACAAAAGAAAGTAAAATTCGATCGCATCGTTTCTTTATAATATATAATATAACGTAATTTGAATATACATATTGCATTGATAACTTTCAATTTAAAGGTACACGTTTTGTTTGTATACACATATATACTTATATATGAGTATATATGTGAGCTCGTTGTATTGCGCAAGCGAACTCATGACCTATTCGACTGACACTATAGGCTCTCATAATATCACACGTGATGGATTGTGTTTAAACATCACTGCATTTGTTTGTATTTATATTTTTCGTATCTCGATCATAAGAGTAAAAAAATCTGCTTTTTATAAGAAGGACAAGAATGAGAAGTCACGGTGGACAAAATCATATAGTTTAATGAAAATATCATACTTCGATAGCAATCCATTTTATTGATATGTGTATTAGGTGCTTAAACAAATTTTTGATTTTTTAAAATAATTGCATACCTTACTAGAGTTTATTTAATAATTTGTCTATTAGCAATGTATTTATTGGATATAAGTTTATTATATTGGAATAAAAATACTAAAGTTTAATGTCTATTAGAGTCTATCTATTATGTAGATTTTTGTATATAACGTTTTCTTTTCGTTTTGCAGCTGAATAGTGAATCATCTTCTGACTTGGACCAACAACGCAACGAACCAACTACCACGGAACAAGTGAAAATGGCTGCTACCGAAGCTGGCAGTCCAAGACGGCTAGGCTTAAATCTGAATCTTAGCGTACAACCCCACGTTGCCGCTTATCATTGGCCACATTCGACAGTGGCCGACGATACGTCACCGTCCAGGTCAAAGGGCACGGACGACGACGATGATGATCGTGACATAGATGACGATGATATGGACTGTCGGCAGGATGAAGAGTGTTCGCCTGAGGATGAACAAGACATTTTGGAAATGCAGGTAAAATATATTTGTACAGAAGAAGAGAGAGAGGAGAGATAGAAAATAAGTGGCCAAGCAAACGCAATAGAACTTTGGAACGTACTTATAAGCATATCGGGGAACCATTAGATTCGATTAAACTGAATAAAGCTTTAGAGATGTAGAAAGCCTCCTTCTAAAAATTGTACATAGTTTCTGCAAAAATGGATTGACTTTAAAAAAAAAAAAAAAAGTTAACTTAACATTAGCTTCAAAACAAATAATACCTGAAGAGATAAATATAATTTTACGTATTTGTCAATCAATTTAAAATAATTTACTCTGATTTATTTTTATTTGTATTGAATAGATGATACTATTCAATTTTGGTTTTTATTATGCATAATATTTCTAAAGAATTTGTCAGTTTATAACTATTAAAAACAAAGAAAATATTTTTTAAAAAAATTAAGAAAATTAAATGTTGAGCTGAACAATGAAACATGATAAAGTGACTGGCTATAACAACAATCAATATTTATATAAATAAAAATGCTTTCATTTAAAATTAAAAAATTTTAAATTTTTTTTTTTAAATTATCATAAATTAAATAATCAATCGTTATTATATCTGTATGACTGTATTTCTTACAGACCTAACTATTTGTTATACACACACACACACACACATATGAATATACTTTGCCGTATCCTCAGATTTCAATGACGGTAATAAGTTATAACTAATTCTTGTAACAATATTAAAAATAACTTCAAGTATATCTCTTGCATACGTGGTTACATTAATATACAGACATTATTGTGAGCAATGTTAAATCCGGCATGGATGTCAAATGGTAATTTGTATAGTAATTATGTGATTACATTTTGGAAACGAATATAATGTAAATTAACTATTCAAGAACGTAGCCAAGATTTACTTCATTATATACTCGTAGAGTAGTTTAGATAAACGGCCGAAAGAAGAATTTTAATAACTATTATATTTAATTATACCTACACCTCAGGAGCTTATCATTTATTCTGTGAACTTGGCATCACAAAGTCGACCATATAACCTTTTGAAATCGTTTAAAACCGTATTGATCATTGCCAGACAGTAGTATCGTAAAATATTTTTGAACTTAATTTGAATTATTTTTAAAGAATTTTCATCGATATGGAATAAACTAGGTGGATATTTAAATAATATCAAAAACAATTGATTTCACTCCAAAAAATTCAACTAACATACTAATAACGTTTCTAAATAATTTCTGCAGTTGATAACTTTTGATTTATACAGTAGCGTTCGCAGAATTTTAGTTCGGTTAATTTTTACTATAGATTTATCAGAGACCTGCGGGATGGCTTCGCCCTCACACCTTCTCCTCTATAGCTAAACTAGTCAATATAACCAACATTTTATAATACAAAATAATTCTTTCAAATTTCTATTTTTGATTTTTGAATTGTCTTAACTCTTAAAATATAAAGTGTTTGGTTGTAATATATTATATACTGTAAATAAAATAATAATATAATTGAACAATATTCACACAGTTTTAAAAGTAACAATTTTATTTTTAATTTATAATAAATTATAGATTCAGTCTTAAATTTAATCTACGATTTGGATTCATAAGTCATTTAGGACCACTACAGGTAGTAAACTTACATCTGTATGAATGTTTCAAGCGATATTTCGGAGAGGGGAGGGCTTTAAACTTTAGAACCCTACCCCTGCGTAAGCCACTGGACTTATAACTTGACCAAATTTCCAGTCAAAATATATTATGTTTCCAGCAACACTTTTTAGAATTCTGTCAAACACGCACATAACGTATTCATATGTATTAATAGATTCTACTATATAGAGAATCACATCACTGAATCGAATCGATCTGCGGTTTTATCTTAATATATAGGTCATTTTTATTGGGATTTTTTTTTCAAAACGAATATACGCATGGTATGCACTTCCACGTAATCATCGTCAATTCGAAGTTTCGGTTGTTTTTTTGGGGGTGTATTATTTTTTTCATTTATACACTTTTATTTTTTATTTTCGTTTCTCGTAGCGCGAAGAACGCGAAACTCTCAACCAACTTGCCAGACAGTTGGCGTCTGGCTCGCGATTGATAACTCCCATGCTCCAACATCTCGTGTACCAACACCCCGGCTTGTCAGTACAGCCGTCTCCATTGCAACACCAGCAACAACAGTCGTCCGGTGTGGCCGTGTCGCTGACGTCTGCCCACAGGCAACCGACCGCGGCTGATCTGTCACCGAAGTCCAGCCACTCGGGTGACACGCCGATGTCTGGCGGTCATTCACTGGCCGAAGTCCATTCACCGTCGATGAGCCGGAATAACGAAGCTCAATCCTGGACGTTCGAAGAACAGTTTCGACAGGTGAGCGACAGAATTACGTACTGTGTTTCGCATTTAACATCTCTATTATTTTCCTTATTTTCCATGACTTTTAAAATCTACCATTGAAACTTGATGGTGATTTGGTACGTTTGGTTCGAGTCTGTGTAGGGAATCAATTGTTTTATGAGTAGTGCCTGCAGAATATTTTTCTATAATATCAGCACCTTCAACTATCCCTATGACGTCTAACTCATATCATTCATACACATCTCCTTCGTGTTAAATACTGATTTAGTGAGCCCAAACTTAACGTATTATTTATGTATTCAATTTATAAATATGTCTCCAAGTTGTCCTCTTATATCCTATATTTGGCACTGGATGAACAGTATTTAAATGATATCTATTACAGACATTTCCCGGAACAGTCTTACTCAGTTTTACTTATCATAGTATAAGACAATTTCAAATAGCCATTAGTTTTATTTTTTTTACTGTCTTAAAAAAAAAAAAAAACTCTTATTGTAAATCTTTTAAGTTTACAGTATAGATCTAGAGAATTTTATAATATCAGTATTTAAATGCTAACTATGTTACAACTTTTGTATTATACTATCATGTCCTAGTACTTAACACGAGTTAAAAACAATGATATTCGCATTTATTATTGATTCCGACTAATTAATATTCTTATTTGTTTACGCTATGGAATAGAGCGTACACCGTTTGGGCGATTCTACCAAAAATATAGTCTGTTTGGGCGAATAAATATATACCGTTTGGGTGGTATAAAAAAGCTTATAATATACACTCAATAATTAATTAAACAAAATTGTATAAAATATAAATAATTAACAATAAGTTATATTTAAAAAAAATATTGATATGAATATTGATATTATTATTATATAACTATATAAGTAGTCAGTGGCTTATCTATCATAGGGCGAAGCGGGGCAGTGCCCTGGGGCCCCGGAGCATAGAGGCACTTTGAACATTTCTAAAACTATACTTCCCTAAAATAATTATCAATGTTGATGGTATTTATCTTTCCTAATCGTACATGGTGGTTTCAGTAACAATCAGTATTGAAGCAGAATAATAATAATACACGCAATATTTGTTTGTTTTTTATAATAGGTACCTTCTAATAAACGGCATTTTCTTTTTACTCTGCACATCTGTTAATTATCTGGCAATTAATTTTATTTATAATTTTATAATAAATAATTATTCACATTAAAAAAAAAAAAAAAAACAATATAATGTGTATACCTTAGAATTTTCATGTAAGGATAATATCAGTTTGAGAGCCATATGGCAGCGGGGCCCTTTCCTGTATAGCTATGCCACTGTAAGTAGTTAGTAATCTACAGTCAAAAAATTATAAATACAATTACATATAATATAATTAGTATATTTTAAAGTAATCTATTAATCAATATTGGCATTGTATGAAAATGCTCATAATATATATTCAAAAATTAATTGAATGAAATCATATAAAATTCAAATAATTAATAATAAGTTATATTTAAAAAAAATATTAATATGGATATTAATAATATTATTATTTATAAGTAGGAAATAATTTACAGTCAAAAAATTAAAATAATAAAATAAAATTGCAGATAATATAATTATTAGTAGTTTTTAAAGCAATCTATTGGCCTGATATTTTAATCCTAAAAAATAAACATTTTATGTATTCTAATTGGTAAATATCCTCTCTTTTATATTTATTTCATGTTTCTTGTATAAACTCTTTATTTTTTATTAGCAATAATGTCATCCGTATTTTTCATCAGATTTTTACCTTGCACAGGTAAAAATAATTTCACTCACCTAAATGGACTATTATTTTTTTGGTCAAAATTATTACCTTCACCCAAACGACCATCGCCCGTGGAATATTATTTGATAAGTCGCTATTATAAATCAATATTATTATTTTATTTTTGTTAGTGTTTTTGAATATGTGGTGTATATAAGTAGTCAAAATAAAATTTGTACCAAAACGAAAAAAAGTTGAAAAAATTGTCAACTACCTCTTAATCTACCTATTTTAATTTAATGTTTTATCTACCAACATCTGCTTTTCACGTGTGTTATCAATTAGTTTTTAAGCAGTATGAATATATTAAAACGGTACGATTAACTGGGCAGACAACTATATTAATTTATAGCCGTGCATGGATTACAACTTCTTTACTTGAACATTATAGACTATAAAAATCTTTAAACCATAAATGTAATATATATTATTAGACGCATTATTCTACATCGTAGAATAATCTGCATCCAGCAATTGAAATATCTCGAAAATCTGGAAAGTATAAAAATTACAAACTCCAATCTATTTTCAGTAATAACCCACGTTAAATCCGCGATCGAACCCTTGTATTTTGTCATTCAGGGTAATCCTAGGAACTTTGTCGAAAATAATCTGTTTCAAAACTGTCATGGCGGTCACAGAAAACACTATTAAATTCTTAGACGGATCAAGTAAAACAAAATGTTCCGTTTTCTTAAAAATAAAATTAACCCTTTGGAATTATACGCAATATATTACTAAAAGCAGAAAGCAGGATTCAAATAGAAAAATATATTTACAATAAATATACAACTATAATAATACATTTTGAATGATAATTGGTAATAAGCAAGGCTAGGATTTGTAGGCAATAGCATGTTATTTTTGCGACTTTTGATTATTGAGTTTGTTAGTAATGTCTACGAATCATGATGAGATAAATAGTGGTATTTTTATTTTGAACGTTTTTCTATATTTTGGATAAAATGCATATTGTTGCATATATTGAATACAATGAATATTATTGCATATTTAGATTAAAAAAATGCTAAAAATGAATGTTTAATAATATATTTTATAATTAATATTTCGTATTTAATTCTAGCTCTGCTGATTAAAGTATAAAACTTGGTTTTTTTATCAAACATAAATTTTATTCTATTTTATTTTATATCTCAATTTTTTTTTTTTTTGTAACTATATTCTTGTGATTATCTTATAAAAATTTAAATACATATTTTACAATTTTTTATTGCATACAAATCCTAGCCCTGGTAATAAGTAATAACTCAATTACATATATATATATATATTTATGTAAAAAAATAATCGTTGATACTTTTAATAACATTTTTCTTTCGATTCAAATATTATTTCACTATTTTAAAGTCTATTTTTATAAGTCATAATATTTGTATTATATATACATAATATATTATACTATATAACCGTATATAAAATAAGCATTATAATTGTTGCATATTATTTCTGATGGCCTGGCGTTAAATATCAATACAGTAGGAGTAGAATATAATGTATTATATCAGTGCATTGCGCGTCACGGAATTTCCACGAGGGTAGATTTTTTTTTTCAATACACAATCAAGCGATGACATCTCTCACCTTGAGTGCTGTCAACAAAGATTGTAATCGGTGCAAGCCTAAAGTATAAGTGTGCATGTGTGTATAAAACAGTATCGTCGACACACACCTGTGCAAACGGGTTGAATCGTCCAGCGAGAGACGGCGAAATTAATAACAATATATTGTAATGTATAACGTCTGCAGAGACTCGGCTCGGACAATGCACGTGCATGGATAAATACAACTGCACGGAGTTCAATTATTTATTATTATACACGCTGTATACAGTTAAATGCAGGTGACTGATGGAAATTTCCACGCTCGGACCAGCCGGTATTGTGTAATATTATAAAATTCACACGCCGCCGTCACCACCCCGGAGACGTACAAATTTCGATCTCTTGTCATCGCGCCGATTCTTCTTCTTTTCCCTTTCGTTTGTTTGTTTTGTTTTGTTTTTTTTTTTGTTTCATTTAAAATCTTTTTTCCATTCACTTTTTGTCTCTGGACGCGTTTTTATTTTCCTATAATTTCACCTGCCCATTGGTGTTTCTCATCGCGGAACACATCATCATGTGTATGCGCGCGCGTGCGTTTGAGCTCTCGCGTCTGAGTCTGCCACGGGTCGTCGATCTTCGTCTACACCCGCTACCACCGCTCGTACTATTATAATATTATAATTGTTATGCTCGTAGTTTTTTACCTATGAAATAATAACATTCACGCGGTACACTGTCCGTCTGCACGCGTGTGACCCGGTACGCAGCGCGCGTACAGCATATGTGTAAGGTAGGGTGATCATATGTAAAAAAAAAAAATACAGGACATATATATATATATATATATTTATTAATTTTTAATTGTGAAAAAACACAATTTTTAATAACACTGTATAACATTAAATTCATGTACTTTACTTTTTTATAAAACTTCTTAATTCATTTTGATGACGATTGTTCAGACATGTTTTCACTATTTGATCTTTCATATTTTTCTGAAGAAGTAATTAGCTTTAATAATTGTGGATTTTCTTAAAGAAATATATGAAATTCTGTACAAGAAACATTTTTTAAAATGTTGTTTTACGATCATTATCGATCTAATTGTGTCCACGAGAAATCGACTTTTCTCATCTGTCCATAAAACATTTGTAATTTAAAATACTCTTTCTACCGACGCGTTAGTTCCGGGAATAGCCATTGAATGCTCTAAAATAACCGTAAAATATTTAATTGGAATGTAATTTTTTTTCTAGAATTTTAAATATTTCACAACACCTATCTTCGGCTTTTAAACCATTACTAGTTTTTAAAATTAACCTTCATTACATTTATCACATGATTAAATTCGTCAAAAAGTTCATCTTCATCGAATTTCAATGTTGGATTATTCATAATAATATATTTCAAACTCTCTTAAATGTCAATCCAAATTGGAAAATCTAGTACTTGAATCCAACGAAAAACTTTTAGTGGTTCAAATTGATATCCCCATTTTTCCAAAATGGTCATTTCGATAACTCAGATAAGTTCCGACAACTCGTAAACATTCTTCTCATACTGATAAATTCAAACAATCACAAGATTATAATTATAATCATTATTCATTACTTTCGTAAGTTTCGTTTTCAAATTAATTTCGT